GCAGCAACCACATGTGACGACCCCGGGCTGGACTCCGCTTCGTCCACGGTGAAAGCCGATCCGGCGATCCACAGCGCAAAGTTGAAGTATTTCCTCAGCGACCAGCACGGATCAGCTCCAACGAAACACACAGCGCCTTCACATGGCGGCGGCAACAATAATACTACAGCGAGAATAAAAGTTACGCCTTCTTTCTTTGCGTGAACATTTGGGCGGCGTTATGCAAATCTTCCCACATCGTGATGTAGACATGTGGGGGCGTGTTAGAACGAGCCGTTTTAGGTAGGCGTGGTTGACTCTTAACTTTTATAAAGAATATCTCTTTGGATTTGAGACTTCAGTCTTTGCAACTTTACAGATCTTTATGCACCAAGAGCTTGTAACACTCCAAAGAGAAAGTAAAAATTGAAATAGCATCATATGACCCCTTTAATGCCATTCTTCAAATCGACAGTTCAGCCAAAAAGTAAAATTTGCTTAAAATTTGCTCAACCTCTGGCCATCCAAGATGCAGATGAGATTTGGAGAAATGTAGCATTGCATCACTTTCTCACCAATGGATCCTCTGCAGTGAATGGGTGCCGTCAGAACGAAAGTCCAAACAGCTGATAAAAACATCACAGTAATCCACACCACTCCAGTCCATCAATTTACGCCTTGTGAAGTGAAAAGGTATGCGCTTGTAAGAAACTAATCCACCAGCAGGGCATTTTAACTTTAAATCATCACTTCTGGCCCAAATATGAGTCCATTCCCCTCGCATCAAGATTACTTTTTTATTTGAATAAGCAGTATATAGACAGAGGATATTTTAGAAGCAATGGTTTAATTATTCTCAATATTGAATTTGTTTCTTACAAACACCTTTTCTCTTCACATGACATTAACTGATGGACTGGAGTGCTGTGGATTACTTGTGGGTTATTGGGATGTTTTTATCAGCTGTTTGGACTCTCATTCTGACGGCACCCATTCACTGCAGAGGATCCATTGGTGAGCAAGTGATGCAATGCTACATTCCTCCAAGTCTGTTCTGATGAAGAAACAAACTCATCTACATCTTGGATGGCCTGAGAGTGAGCACATGTTCAGCACATTTTAATTTTTGGGTGAACTGTTCCTTCAATCATTTAATTTAAGTTACTGCTTAATAGATAACCATGTATATTCTAGTTAAATGAAATTCCTCTTTCAAAATAAAATTTAATGAATGAAATACAACTAAAAAAACCCAGCTACATTTAAAATGAGGTTGAACCACACCACATTGTTTGCAGTAAACATGCTTTGATGATATTGGGCCAAGAACGATCTTTTGTAAAGGTTGACGGATTTAAAAAAAAAAATTCCCATAACAGGGCTGATTGAGCTGGTTGAGGCCAAGATATAATACAGCGCTTAAAAAAAATTAATAATTTAATTCTTTAATTTAAAGAAAAAAAATCCCATTATTTAACGGAATAATATTAATATTACCTTATAATAATATTAATATCACCTTATTATAAGTGACGTAAGAAAGATCAATGCATGTTTTCAAAGGCGGAAGCATATCAGGGTTGATTAGAAAGTGAGGAATAAGACAAATTCAGAATTTTCTCAGAAAGTAAACTATGCAAACTATGGCTATATGCTGTATTGTGACCAAGGCTTTGTCGAGCTATTGAACTTTTTGACTGTGATTTCACAGAAAAATAGAAACAGTTCACTGAACACACATTCACCTGAGGGCAAGTTGTCATAGCTTTTATGGTCTAGGTCAGGGATCCTCAAATCTGGCCCACGAGATCCACTTTCCTGCAGAGTTTAGCTCTAACCCTAAACAAACACACCTGAGCAAGCTAATCAATGTCTTCAGGATCATTAGAAAATCACAGGTAGCTGAGTTTGATCAGGGTTGGAGCTAAACTCTGCAGCGCATTGGACCTCCAGGGTAAGATTTGAGGAACCCTGGTCTAGAGTGTCACAATGAAACATGAAATTGTCCATTATACAGTGGGTATATCAAATAAATCACCCCACTTTAAAATAATCACATTTTGTTGCTTTGCAGCCTGAATGAAGACAGACAGTTTTTGTTTTATCCAGCTGTGTTTACTCAGTGCAGCTTATAACATCCAAGTGAACACTACCATGTCAGGTACATAACACCAGTACATGTCAGGTGTAGCTAATCACCTTCTCAACGGCACACAAAGCCATTTGACTTTCAGCTGTGATCAGCTGTGCTCATTTTGATTAGCTCAGCATGAAAAGAGCTTTCCTGGAGTACTTCAGTCCTTGGTAGTGCAATTGAAGCAAACAATCAACTATGGGTGGCAAAGCATTGTCAAAAGACCTCCGGGATAAATATTTGTGGTTAGGCACAAGTCAGGAGATGGATACAAAAAAATTCAAAGGCTTTATCAATGCCTAGAAACACAGTGAAGTCTATTATTAAGAAGCGGAAGGTATTCGGTACAACACAGACCCTCCCTGGATCAGGACGTCGCTCCGAACTGGATGAAAGAGCAGGAGGAAACTGATCAGAGAGGCAACCAAGAGCTACAGCAGCTCTGAAGCAGAAGAGTGGTCATTGTGGGCATGTGACAACAACATCACAAATTCTCCACAAATGTGGCTTATATGAGAGGGTTGCAAGAAAAAAAGCCACTCAAGAAAGGCCACATGCAGTCAGACTGAGCTTTGCCAAAACACACCTTGAAGATTCTGAGGCAGATGAGACTAAAATGGAATTATTTGGCCTCGACATCAAATGATATTTCTGATGAAAATCCAATACAGCTCAGCATCCAAACAACATCATTCCTACAGTAAAGCATGGAGGTGGTGATGTCCTGTTATGGGGTGTTTCTCTGCAGCAGAGACTGAAGCACTTGTCAGGATAGAAGGAAAAATGGATGAGGCAAAATACCATTCAATTCTTGAGGAAAATCTGCCAGAAAGTTGTCAATGGGAAGAAGGTTTACCTTCCAACATGACAGTGACCCAAAGCACACAGTGGTTGAAGGAGAAAGAGCTGAATGTCCTTGCATGACCTGTCAGAGCCCAGACTCAAACCCCACTGAAAATCTGTGGAATGACTTGAAGACCACAAACACTCACCATCAGATTGAACTGAACTTGAGCAGTTCTGCAAATTAGAGTGGGCAAATATTGCAAAGTCTAGATGTGCAAAATTGGTAGAGACAAATCCCTACAGACAGGGCCGCATTAAGACTGTACTGGGCCCTGGGGCTATTACTTACTGCAGGGCCCCCCATCACAATAATGATATATATATATACATTATATATATATATATATATATATATATATATATATATATATATATATATATATATAGCTTTAAATAGGATTTTTATTCCACATCAAAATTCTTGATGCAATGAAATTTCATAATTTGTTACCAATTTCAATATCACAAAAAAAAGAATACTAGCCTAAGTAAAAATAAGCTTACTGAAGACAAGTAAACAGTCACAAATTAAGCTACAACAGAACAAAGATCATAAGAAATCGGCCTACTTGGAAAAACTTGAAAGCACTGAATAATATTACGATGTATACAAATTGACAAATAGACTGAATGGTCTTCACTGTATATATTTAATATACATTCATTCTTATTTATTTTACAAAAGTGATTCAGTCAAGGACAGTAAGTGATTTTCTTTCTGATGTTTGATTTACATTATTGGCAAAAATGGCAACAGCAGCTATATTAGGCTGCTTTAGAGGAATAGTTCACCCGAAAATGAAAATTCTGTTGTTGTTCTAAACCTGTATGAGATTCCTTCTGCTGTTGAATGCAAAATAATATATTTGGAACAATACTGGTAATCAGAGAGTTGCTGGGTCCCCATGACTTTATGAGCCCCTCTCTCTCAGAATTGCTGACATCTTTACTTATAGAATATTGTTCTTCGCGCAAACATTTCCAGATTACTTCATAACGAAGTGAAGCGTGAAGGGCAGCGATCACCTGATAGATACCTGCACATGTCCTTCAAATGTCAAATATAGAATAAATGCATTTGCTTGGTAAACCAAATTAAGACTTTAAGCTTAAATCTCAAATGGTAATGCATGGAATTTATGGAAAAGCTCAACTAAATAACAGCGCTAATAAGTGGGGGGCGATCGGCGCGCCAGTCAATTTACCCCACGGCCAATCACGGGCCCCTCCTTGCCCGGGCCCCGGGGCTTCAGCCCCGCCTAGCCCAATGGTTAATACGGCCTTGCCTACAGACTAAAGGCTGTAATTAAAGCAAAAGGTGGTTCAACCAAATACTGACACAAGGGGGTGATCCTTTTTCCAACTCAGTGATTCTGTTTTTTTCATTTATGTATTTATTTTTTCTGACATGTTGGTTACATCTTTCACTTGGATGTTAGAATTCACACATTTTTTCCCAATGTAAGAATTGGTTTTGAACTAGAAGCTTGTACAAACAGGCCCATCTCAAAGTGTTTGCTAGTTGAGCATCTTGATAGAGAAATGTCTCTTACTGAATAACAATCTCGTCCAAAACGCCCTGCAACAGCTTGATAGTCGCGCCTTGATCAGACCTTGAGAATAATGTGCAGATTAATGAACGTTAATAAGAGCGGAATGAAAAACACTCGGGACCGAATCCAGCACTAGAGATCCGCAGTGGAAACACTCATCACATCGTTAAACACTCTTCCAGACATATACGCGAAGACACTGGTAATTAGTCACTAAGAACTTGAGAGATCATGCTGAACCGAAATAAGCGCGTCAGTACATATGACCGTATAGAGACACGCAGCCTTACCTTATGAAGAAAACACAGCTGATATTAGTGTCCCCCGCTCAAACACACGGCTGACATTGTACGTACATCCACGCTCCGGATTCAGCTTCGGTGATGGAGCTGTCCCGCTGCAGTGATGCTGATGCTGAGCTCTCGCGCGATGAAGCAAGCTCCGTCCCGCACCGGCGTCACTTTCTCCGCCTGCATTTAAGTTACGAAACCCACTGAGCTACAGTACCATTTAGTGAACTTGAAGATATAAAGGACCTGTGTTATCCCAAATCAGAGTAGAAGAAATGTAAGCTGTAAAACGCAGCAGCACATCCACGTTTAACTAGAATCACTGTGATTATATTAAGCGAGAGAGCCTTGAGAATTCACGAGATGTTAGTGGTTTTGTGAACAGCTGTCCTCTGTGTCACATTAAATCACAACCCTCTGTTAACAGATTTACACTGAGCCCACAGAACTAAATGAGAGCATGGGATGGGCTCTGTGTGTGTGTGTGTGTGTGTGAGAGAGAAAGAGACAGAGAGAGAGAGAGAGAGGAAGTGGCAGGAAAGATAAATGATCCCATGGGAGAATGGGAATGAGAGAGCATGAGTAAGATTCACAAACAATATGAAGGTACCCTGAGAATAAGATGAATTGTATTTAAATTTATCATTAATTAGATAACAAATAATGTGTGTGCACGTACACACACACACACACACACACACACACACAATTTATCAATATATATATATATAAACATAAGATACACTGATCAAAACAATATAATCAATAATCTTATTCTCTCTATATATACACACACGAATAGCATATAAATTAATTATTATTAATTATTATATATATATATATATATATATGAATTAACAGCATCTAAAACTTTGGTGCATAGTTGTTTTGAGAGCCCAGTAGAAATACAGCACAACTAGGAAATAAAACACTACAAATGTGTT